ATTTTGGTTTTGTTCCTTTTCCCTTCCCCCTTCCCTTTCCCCTGTGAAATTGTATATATATTTCAATTGTATGTAATTGTAATATAAGTGTAAATATATTTTTATATATCACTTTAGCTGTCTCTCTCTCATTTCGGGTTTTCTTGGTTTTTTTCTCCCTCTTCTCCCTGAAGTTTTGGGGGGGGGGGGGTGGAGACTTCTTGTGGTGAGGTTTGGAGACTTGGCAGGGAGCCAGCTTCAAACCATATCAACATAGGACAAAGAGGTGCAAGCTAACAAGGCATAGCACAGCTCCTGCTGTGTCTTTCAGTCCACCTTCAACAACTGTAATGCTGCCTACACTTGGGAACAACTTTTTGTGCATATGGTCTGTCTTTCTACAGTCCCTTGATTGCCACAGGGGTGTCCCTTTCAGTTCTGAGGCCAGACCTGGATGCCCTTCCCTTGGGAGTCACATGGTCTAGGGCCTCCTGCAAACATGTCCTGAGTCTCCCGTGTTGAATGTAGGCTGCACCTGTGACTTGTGGTGCTTACTGAGGACGGATTTGGAAGGAGTCAGGCCTATCTGTCTCAAGAGCTGATCCAGGCTGCTCGATTTTGATGGAAGTAAATAGAAATCAGGTTAGATTTGCCACTAATACAGCTGCCTAGTCAAAATCTTCTGTTAATCCTAAATTAGTCGCTGCTGCTTTTAGGGCCATTAGTTAATGAAAATGCACTGAAGGCTGTAGTCAGTAAGACAAATATAATGTTGGGTAATGCCAATTGCATTCTAACGGTGTGAAAATCGATCCCATTTTTTCCTCTTAAATTGTGGAAGAAGGGCAGTTTTCTCTTGGGGCCACTCTGCTCCAGAAAGTGCGTGGATGGAAACAGCTGCCCAGGTACAGCAGTGCTCCTGTCTGTGTATGCTCCAAACTGCCTTTTTCCAGCTTCCTGCTTCTCGATCTGTCAGTCATTTACCTGCAACTCATCTGTGAGTGAATGAGGGCTATTTTGTGCTAGCCCATGTTGCTGAATGGAGTTTTCTATTCTGTCTCTGAGTGCAATAAAGCAAGGCAAGCGCTAGAAAAGACGGAAGTGGAAGACATAAAAATAAATTAGTAAAATAAATGATGCAGTATTTTGGATTTTGTTGCTCTAAGCAGGTGAGATATGAGGTAGCAGATAAAGAGAAACAAAAAGCTCACAAATAAATCCCCCTAAACCAAACCAAAAAGCCCTAATGTTTTTCCTTATGTACAGAGCAAACTTGATAGGAAGTCCCTTGAGGTGTGCCAAGACTGTCTGTTCAGTGTGTTCCCTTGTTTGCTGCGAGCCCTGGGCTCCAGTAACCTGTACTGGATACCTGCCAGTCCACTCCATGGCTCCACGTGCAAGCAAACCAAATAGGGCTGTTGATTAGAAAACAACGTGTAAAAAAATAGTTGACACCATGGCTGTGGGATTAAAGAACTTAAAACCAGAGGAGTCAGGAGTTTAAAGTCAGTGTTAGAGAGTTTTATTTTTTGCGACACTTCGCTGACACCATCTGCAGGAATGTTCAGTGCTAGGCTGGATGGGGCTCAGAGTAACAGGAGCTAGTGAAAGGTGTCCCTGCCCAGGGGCGTTTGGGACTGGATGACTTTAAGGTCCCTTAAAACCCAAACTGTTCTGGGCTGTCCTGCCGACTTTAGCGGGATTAATTCCATGCTAATGCTTTGCAAAAATCCGTGTTTAGCAAAGAAGCCTTTGGGAAAAAAAAAAACAACTTAGGTAGTGTAAATAAACGTGGAATATTGCCCATCACGACCCGAGCACATCCCAGATCCAAACGCCAAGGAAAACACCCCAGCTCCTTTATTTGCCGGGAATCGCCGCGCGGGTCACGTGGGCGCGCCACCGCCAATCGGGGCGCGCCGAGGGCGCTCGCGAGGCTTTCGGTCTCCATGGCAACGCCTGGGCCCGAGCCGTCCGAGCGCCGGCAGAGCCGCCGCCATGGTGAGTACGGGACGGGGCTGCCGCCGCCCCCGGCATTCCCTGCTCATCCAGCTATACCTCATGCGGGAGCCGCTCCAGGGGGCTGCGGCCGCCGCGTGCCCTCCCGGGCATCCGTGACATCCCTGCGGAGACTCCTGGGTCTCGGGTTTTTTTACGGGATGAGGTGCCCCAGTGGCTTAACCGCGTATCGGCGTGGCTGACTTGGAGATCACGAGTGGCCTGTGCTTATGTGTCTGTTTACTAGTTTAAGTTCCTTTCTGTCTGTAATAAATAAAAGCTCTTCGCCTAAAAAAAACCCCCCAGCAACAGCAAAGAGAACATTATTTTAGCTTTCCATGTGATCCCTCAATTCCAAGGTGTGGGACTTTGTGGGCGACATCGGTCTTGCAGCCACACTGTGAGAGCTGGTTTTATTTACTGCTGTTGCTGCTTCCTCGGCCGCCTTTAATTCCCGGGCAGTCGAGATCTGTGCTCAGATTATTGATTGTCCATCCAGGTATCCCAGTACTGCGTTGTCACTGGAGCTCACCTGCACAGGTGGATTACTGAGGACAAGGTGATCGGGTTAACTGTTTTGTGTGACTTGCTACATTTCTGTCCCTCCCCAGCACCAGCCGTGCTGACCAAGTACACCGAAGTAAGTGAAACGGACTCGCCTTTGGTTGCATCAGCTCTCCAGGGAATGAGGGGATAAACTCCCATTCGTGCCCGGTTGTACCTCCTTGTGACTTGTGCTACCTGCATGAGCAGTGGTTATTCCAATGTAATTGGCCATACCGACAGTCCTTCCTTGGAAATAGAGGCACGTGTAGAAGGGCTAGTCAGCCACAGCTGAAATTGCTTCCTTCTTAATTTGCCCTGGGAGTATTTGTTTCTGGGCAATAGGCTGTTGAGAAACAAATTCAGATTATCACTTAAGATCTCCTTGTATATAAAAAGGAGCACAACCAGCAGGTAAAGGGAAGTCATTCCCGTCTCTATTCTGTTGTTGTGAGACCCCACCCAGAGCACTGTGTACAGTTCTGGTGCCCTCAGCATAAGCTGGATATGGAACTGTTGTAGGAAGTCGTGCGGAGGGCCACAAAGTTGACAAGAAGACTTGAACACATCTCCTACAAAGACAGGCTGAGAAAGTTTGGGCTGTTCAGCCTGGAGAAGAGCATGTTGTATGGAAACCTCACAGCAACCTTCCAGTATCTGAAGGGGGCCTACAAGGAAGCTGGAGAGGAACTCTTCATCAGGAACTGTAGTGGAGTGGCTTCAAACTGAGAGTACATTTAGATTAGATACGTGGAAGAAATTCTTTTCTATGAGGGTGGTGAGGTACTAGAACAGGTTGCCCAGAGAAGTTGTGGATGCCCCATCCCTAGGAGTGTTCAAGGCCAGGCTGGATGGGGCTCTGAGCAACGTGGTCTAGCGGAAGGTGTCCCTGCCTGTGGCAAAGGGATTTGGAACTAGATGATCTTTAAGGTCCCTTCCCAACAGAAACCATTCTATGATTCTGTAATTATATGAAAAGTTTCTACAAATAAACTAACAAAGAAACATAGCATCCTTTCCTGTGGTTTTGTTTTGGGTTTTTTTGGTAGTACATCTATGAAAGATACATCATTCAGCTACATTATACATACGTACATATAGTACAAAGACAAATTTATCCAAGAGCTTCCTCCGTGGTCCTTCTGGTTCTGATCCTCTGATTACTTCTGTTTTAGATTTTCTGTGACTTTTTTGAGGCTACTAGTTACTTGAGCTCTTACTTCCAAGCAGTGATGGTTTTAAAGGGAGAGCACTTATGTGAGGTGTATGGGGATTACACATACACAAATACAGTTGTTTTTTAACATGCTAGTGAACATGATAACCCTGTGAAAGCAATCACAGAAACTAGTCAGAAGGCAATACTAGTCAGAGCAAAACTTATGCTCCTTTTTGCTTAGTGTATTTTTTGTGCTTTTATCCTCACCTGCAGGCAGAGCTGGGCCTTAATGAGCATCACCAGAACGAAGTGATCAGCTACATGCGCTTCGCTCGCTTCAAGCGTGGCCTGTGTCTCAAAACAGTGGATTCTTGTTTTCAGGACCTTAAGGACAGCAGGTACTGTGTGGGGTTGTTCTGAGCAAGAATAAACCAAATATGCTAGCAGCACTGGCACATTTGAACACTTTATGGGGCAACTTTTCTCCATTTCAATTCGTGTGTTTTTACTGGGGAAGAACCAATAATTTTCCGAAAGTTACAAGTGCTTTTAAAACTAAGTTGTTCACGTTCTTAGGAATTAACATAGATATTGACAACATGACATTGCTTTATATCTTGCTTCTGATGTCTAAATTTATTGCAAGGCTAGCTGAATTAGTGTCTGTGATTGTGATGATTTAAAGAGAAAATTCAAACACAATAACCAATTAGTAGTCCTGTGGTCATCTAATAACTATTGACAGTGGATGTTTTTAGAAGGATCTTACATTATGTGAGTGGTACCTGTGTAGTGAGATCTCATAAATATGGAAAATGGTTACCTTTATTATATGTGACTCATATTAACTACTCTGTTTAGACTTGTTGAAGAGACCTTCACAGTTGATGAGGTGATAGACATGCTGGATGGACTGCAGAGTGTTGTACACAGTGAAGTGGAGTCGGAGCTCATAAATACAACTTACACCAACGTTTTACTTCTGCGGCAGCTCTTTTCACAGGCTGAGAAATGGTACCTTAAGTTACAGACAGACGTCTCTGACTTGGAGAATCGGTAACATCTATTGGACTGCACAGAGTGCCTTTCAATGATAAGAAAGCTGCAAAGTGTTGACTATTTGCATTCTTTTCCTAACCATTGAAATCTATTCTTTTACTGTTGTATCAGTGAGAGTTTCAAGGCTTCCATCTGTAAAGTAGCAAGATACAAAAATAATTTCAAACTTGTCAGCAAGATGTTTTTAATGGTAATATTCTTACTTGAATAAGGGCAGGTGATTGGATTTGAATAAAAAAACCTTTGTCTGGTTTGACTAGACTTTAATCAAGGATGAATCAAGAATTTTATAGTTCTAATGCATATATCATACCATTGCATGACATGATCTGTTGTGTTTGTGGTATTTGCTTAGGACTTCATTCTGTACTTCTAAAAAGAATCTTACATGCAATAAAAAGCATAACATCAGCCTGGTAAAATGTGTTTCATAACATAGCTCTTAGTAAATGAATGCTTTCCTTTATTTTTCTGCAGTAAACGAATGCCTCTTTATTTTTCTTTTCAAGAGAATTATTGGAACAAGTTGCTGAGTTTGAAAAGTCAGAATTTACATCTTCAAACAAAAAGGTAGAGTTTTATTTTAATCAAATACTAATAAAATGTCATGTGGAGTTGCGACAGATGTTTAAAATGCCTAGTACTGACTCGGTGCTTAAGAGAGAAAAGCAAAACCAAAACACCACCCTTTTTCTTGAAACAGTCTTTGAAAGTCTCCAAAAAGTCACATTTGCAGTTTGGCACCAAGGCATGCTCTAAATTGCCTTGGTTGTTTCCAGAGTGCAGGTTCTGCACATCCAGGACATGCCTCATATACCTCACCCCAAGGTCAGCCAGACCAGGGATGTGTTAAAGCATCTGCTCCTGGGTTCCCTTCCCCTGGCAGCTGGGGTAAGATTGAGACATTTGTGTGTCCTGCAGTACAGATATCACTTTAGCTTATCTTGCGTGGTTATGGCTGCATCTTCTTTGGTTTGTAGTGTAAAGGTGTATTTAGTTAATATATATTATTTTTTATTCTTAAAAGGAGAAAATTTGTATCATTGTAAATATTTTTTACTATTATAGTCACTCAAATATTTTTCTGTTTTCCATATTCCTTTGTCTTTTGATTGCTGCAGCATTGTTAGTCTTCTGTAAAATCAAGTTTGTAATCCTTCTATGTCTCTACAGTATTTTTGTTTAACTTCAGCTCAAAGTGAAGTATATAACTTAGGAGCCAAGAAACCAGTAAAAAATGAACTTGAAATGAAAGGTCATTCATTTACTTTACAAAAGAAAGCTGAATTGACTGTCAATAATTATTTTACAGACCATAGGAGTATCTTTCTCCCTCCCAGAGATCTGTATAATTTAATTTTTTCACCTTTATTATTTCTTTAGCCCACTGCAGATCCCGTTAAACCAAAACTGGCTCCATTAAATGAAGGTGGGACAGAGCTGCTAAACAAGGTAAGAACTTGTCTGTTCATGCAGTTGTGGTCAATGACCATATTTCTGTAATGTGTCTGTCACTATATAGACATCATGGTAATATATCCCAGAATGTAAAGGAAAATGCTAGTGAATTAATAAATGTTGTTAAACATCTGCCATGTAATGTGAGGTTATGGTCTCTAACATGTATTGCAATATTGAGCCTTCCTTTGCAAAGACATTTTGGGCTTTGAAATTGTTTATTTTTTCATTAAATGAAATTAGTAAATCAGTTCCATGCAGCTAGCTGGCTTTTCAACAGGGAAGTAAATTAAAATATGTAGCTGGCTGAAATGATTAGGTTATTGAACATTTTCTGTATCCCTTGCAGACAATCTTATTGCATCCATTCTTTTTTTTTTTTTGGTAAGTTGTCTAAATTCATCCTGAAGAAACAGGCAGTTAGAGAATTTGGAATTTACTGACTTTAAAAATGTCTGATTTCTCACTTCTAAACATTTTCAGAATTAGGAAACAGTTTCTAGTAGTTAATGTTATGAATGGGTTGAACTCACTTAGTCCAACTGAACTTTTCTAAAATGCCACACTTCTTACAGTACACTTTTAAGTTACGGGCAGTCAAGATAATTAGCAAGGAGCTGTGTTTTCTGTCTTCTGGCCTGCACTGCCAAAATGACGTGTCAAATACAGCATCTGAATCAAATTGTTTTTACTCATTACGATAATTAAAGCATTCAAGAATTCAGACTTCTATTTTACTTGTAGATCGATGTAGTTCTCTATCAAAAATAATTTCAAAATCTGTTTCATAACAGTTTTTGTTGAATATTTACATCTGATGTCTTTTTATCTTTTTTTTTCCCAAATAATTCAAATGGTAAATTTACGCTGATAAAACATGGTTATTTCCTGTGACAGAGAACATGATATTCAGTAACCTGGTATTTGTCTCCTTTGAACAGGAACTATGAATAAAGTTTTTGTTGACTGAAAATACACATGATGAGCAGCAATGAAATTTAGATCTCTGAACATACAATGTTTAGTCATATATCTTGATACTAAGAAGATGCTGAGCTCAATAATCTCAGTTTGGTAAAGCATGCACCAAATTTGAGTGAATGGTCCTATACATTACTATAGAATTGAAGACTTACATTGCTTGCTGACTGAGGCAGAAAACAGAATAAATCAATGAATTACTGATTTCTTATGGAGGCCATTTTTATAAGCATTTATAAGATCTTCTTTGCTTTCCTAAGTTATGAAATGTATTTTCTTCCCTGAAATATTCAGAAAATTTGAAATAGCACAAGACTGTTCACAAACTTTTTCTTATTCATTAACCCAAAGACAGTTGCTCGTCTCCAAGAAGAAAATGAAAAATTGAAGACCAGACTCAAGACTATAGAAACACAGGTAAATTCCCTGTAAGCTTGGATACTTAATGCTGTTTACATATTTAAAAATATCTGAATAAGAATCTCATGGTTATTATTCTTATGTTTCTGAGGTTTTGAATTTTCAATGTGTTGCAGGCTACAGCTGCCCTAGATGAGAAGTCCAAGCTAGAGAAGTCACTGAGGGATTTACAGATGATCCAAGGAGATCAGAAGGTAAATACAATTAAGATATCTCCCTCTGTTTAACACAACTGTTGCCAATACATCCAAAATGTTGTTCTGTATGGTGTGTTTCTTTTCTGGCAAATGCAAAAGTTCAAGTTAGTTTTGTTGTGTTCCTGCTGACATTGTCTGTTCCTGTTGGTCTTTCAGTCAGCAGATAATCCATAACATTAGTTGATGTTATGACATGTATTTTGTGTCACATAGACCGTGATAAATTATTGTTAGAAAGTGTTATTCCAGGTGCTGTCAGGAAGTAGTATTCCAGAATTCATATTCTCAGGGTTGATATTTGTATTAACAGACACAAATTTATGTCTGTTTCTTGATGATTACTGATGAAAGAATGATGTCTAACCTGGTTTTACAGCAACAGTAAAACACTAATTTTTTCAAGCATTCGTCACACCTAGTGTTGACATGGACAAGCAAACTTGCTGCTTATATGATTTTATGTGGTTCTGCACATATCAGCATACTGTTAAAAATGGTTCATTGTTTATTTTTACTACTTGAGATTCTTAATCTTTTTTATAAATGATTCAAACCCGGCAAGTTGCTGCTGCAGAAATAAAATGTAAGAAGCCTGGAGTCACGTTGACATGGATAAGTCTGCTCGGGTCACCTTAGTATTTTTTCAAGTCTGTATCTTTATTTTGTCAATAATTAGAATTTTCTAAAGTTTGTTCATGTGTGATTGTTTCTTAAATTTCAAATATTCTGTTCAGACTTGAAAGAAAATTATTACACTTTAATCCTATTATTTTGACTTTAAAAATCCTCCAGTATTTACAGATTTGAAGTGAGGTTCAGTATCATAAAACATTTCTCTTTTAAGTTTCATATTTTAATCCTGATTTCTTTTTATTTTGCTTTCTAACTGGTTTATGGTATGTACTTGGCTCTCTCAATATGTTATAAATTTACTTAATAACTTTCAAAGTCTGTATTCAATAATATTATTTAATAGGGAACTTGATTTATCAATCATGACAAATATTTTCTTTCTCTGTTTTGTTAAGCCTTAAATTATTAAAGGTTTAAAATATTAAAGGGGTGTATTAAATCCTGGATAATACTGTTTGTAGTTTTAAAAGATTGAAACCAAATCTCATCCTGCTTTTCTTGTTAAAAATGAATTGGCCTCAGTGTCAGGGCTGCTGACTATCTTCAGCTTTCATGTCCTAATTTGCTCTCTGTAATCTGTCACTTTCTTCTCCAGCTTTTACATTTTCTATTTACAGGCATATATATGTTGTTGCAACTAGCTAGTGGATATAGTGCTGAAATGTTCTACATGATTTAAGCAATTACAGTATTATCAGTATTAGTTGTTGGAGAACATGTGGAATTTTTTGTGATTTCACTCCATATTTTTTAGGATGGATGTCATTAAGATAATATAAACCCAGTTGCTCAATAAGCAGTAGTTTTTAAACTCTTTGGACAAATAAATGGCTGCCAAACCACAACAGTTCTTAAGGACCAACTCAGCAGATTGATTTTTTTTTTTTTACTAATAGTTAATGGATGGCCCCACACATGAAGTTTGAGTCACAGTTTGGAAGTAACTGCTCCATTGGAACAATTTAACTCGAGGATTTAGAATTTTTGCATAATTGGCTTATGTCCTCGTTTAGAAAAATGGTAACTGTCTATTCTGATCTGAAACACACAAAATGTAGTGCTTTTCAGCATTGTAGACTCGGATTCTGTCTCAAAATTCAAAATAAGCTTTTCTTCTGTACAGGTACTATTATCAAGTGTGTTACTGTTCTCAAATCTTACCTTCCACACAGAAAAAGGAACAGAGCTTCCTTAGTTTTAGTTTTTTGTTCTTTTTAAGGTGCTACTGGTTCAGCCTCATCCTGAGTCATTATACTTCTGAGTTTGAAATTGAGCTTTCAAACCTGAGAGGGTTTTGCATTTGCTTTTTTCTTTTTTAATAAAAATCTGTAGAACAGTTACATGATTATAATGTTTTGTTACCCGAAACTGAAGTCCAGAAGAGTTTGAGTTATTTCTTCTCACAAGAAAACAGGAAAGTTGCTTCATAAGCAACTGTGTAAGACATCTAAGAATAGTACAATATTCATACCTGACTGAGAGTATGAGCCTTAACACTTCCAGCCTTTCCTACCTGTACTACACTAAGGGCTTTTGAAATGCTTCAAAAATACATTGTAGTGTAGACATTCAGATCTTAAATGTTAATTTACTATTTCTGTATGGTAAATAACTTCTTATAATATGCTTTATCCTGTGGCTGCACCTAATTCCTAAAGAAGCAAAGTACAAAAACTTGAAATCTCAACTTGGCAGAAGACATTCCAAACATTTTTAAAATGCATTTATTAAAAATTTTTTACAGTTATAAATCAGCCACTACAGTAACATTTTTTTTAGTTAAAACACTAATTTAGGCTTTAAAGGAATAACATGAACATATTTATAAAAATTAAGATGCACCTACTTTGTGTGGAATTTTGCACTTGAAATTTAAAATATTTATTTTCTTACATTTGACATATTTTAAATATTTCTTCCATTGAAGACTAATGCAAACCAGGACATCACTGAACTGGAGAATAAAGTGGCAGCTTTGAAATCCCAGTTTGAGAAGACTTTGAATGACACTACTGCAAACCAAAAATTCTTGGAAGAGGACTTGGTGACAACAAAACATGACTTGCTTAAGGTTCAGGATCAGCTATCTGCAGCTGAAAAGGTTAGCATTTTTTTTGTAGTGTAAAGATGTGATCCTTACTCACATTTTAACCGACTAGTAATTTAACAAGCACACACTACAGGATGCAGAGTTTACCAGGCCACACTGTTGCCTGTGTATTTTTGTTATTTCAGTGGAAAAGCATGTTATAAGTAAAATAGCAAACCCACAACTAACTACATGATTATAACTAGACGAATACTTAAATATTGCCCATTTGTCTGCATAGAAAGTTTGAAATGAAAAATGTATTCCCAGCCTTGAGAAGACTTTTAGCCTAATTTCATTAGAAAATGAAGTTTGTGTTTCTCTGTCTGTCCCAGTAATCTCATTTGAATTTACCAGCTGACTTAATCTAAATTTGAATAAGCTACAGAAACTACTATTCTGAAACTTGAGGAGGAAAAGCAATAGTTTCGGGTTTTTTTAAATATTTTAGTTTGGTCTTCATAATATGTACATAATATGTTGATGTTGTTATTACGAAGGAACTGGAGAAGAAATTTCAGCAAACAGCTGCCTATCGCAACATGAAGGAGATTCTCACAAAGAAGAATGAACAGATAAAGGATCTGCGTAGAAGGCTTTCCAAGTAAGTGATCTATCCTGTCTGTCCAAGCAGGATCCTTGTTCTGCATCCACGTTCTGTTCCCATTTTGTCTTGTAAATGTGAATCAGTCTCTAAAACAGTCTGTAGGTTTTCCCTTAAAAAGAATTTCTAGTAATCTGTTCCCTGATTTTTGACAAGCCAGTCCTTTCAGTGGATGTTAAGTGAATAGGACTGACCTGTGCAAGAGCAGCTACCATGTAGGCAGTAATGAGAGAATTTAGTATGGAGAGGTTACAGGATATTCATGTGTGTGGTGGATAAGCCCTTGGGCACTACACAGAGAGATACAGATGGCACATGTTCCAGATGCTTTGGCAATTGTTTGGATTTGTGGATAGGTCATTCCTTCATTCTAATATTTGGTAAACTGGGCAGTTTTTAAAGGAGAAAATAGTTTAAAAAGTATATGCGTTTCTCTGTGCCCTAAGTCATACAGCGATTCTTGACAGAAATGTGTCACTATTGAGTGCAATTTATTACTTGGGTTTCATTTTTTCTTTAGAGGCAAAATGACTCTAGGGTATTTTCTGCTCTGTTTTAATTATTTTTCTATTTATCTTTTTTAATCCTCAGATATGAATCAGAGGACTGAAATACCAAAAAACATCTGATGTATCGAAAGCTGCCATGGAAAGAAAATGTAGACTGGTATTATATTTCAATAATCTTTGTTTTGAATGGTATATTTTTTGCTTCTAATGATGAAAGTAACTCTTTATTAACACTAATAACATGCTGAAACTCCTACCTTACTTCCTTGTAAACCTACGATTTATAGGTATTAGTTTCTGCAGTCATGTTTTTAATTCTTAGCCATCAACATTTCTTGAGAAATAGCTAACAGGATCTTACTGAAGAACTGAGAACATTCCCTACAAAGAAAGGAGTTTATTTTTGTTAAGAAAAGAAAAAAAGGGAAAAAAAAGAGCATTAGGGATTTTCTTGTCTCTGAGGTGGAAATTCCAGTTGTTACTTTTGTGTAGTTAGTGTACTTATGAAGTAGCATTATATGTAAAAATTACATCAGTGAAAGTAAAAAGCAGGAAGAAAAAAAAAGAAACTCACAGATTCTGTAATGTTACTTCACACTGGACATGTCATACCTCAGCAAAATGTGGTCACTAGCATTTTTCTAGAGGATGTTCAGGAGCTAGTGAGGTAAATATGCTTTATAGCTGAAGCTTTCAAATAAAGCCACTAATTAAAGTTATACTTTTTAACTTGGATTAATTTGAAACAAATTTGAATATCAAAAGACAGATTCTGATTTTGCCAGTATTCTTAGTTAATGGAGAAACTTTTTTGAGAAATAAGTTATTTTAGATATTTTCATCTCCTTTCTTAATGTAACCTCATCAGAAAACAGCTTACTTCTCTCAAGTCTTCTACTTGTAATTCTTTTCCTTGCATTTATTTGTCAGCCTATTATTAGTGCATTCTACTTGTTCATCTGTCCCTGTTCATGTGTATGTTGTATTTTACTCCAAATAAAACTGTTCTGTTTTCAAACATTTAATCTTTAAGGAGCTGGGTTTTTTAATAGGAATGTTTTGTATAGCCATTTTTAAAATATCTGTAGGAATGGGTGGCAGATCAGCAAAGAATCTTGCTAGAAATTAGAACATGTAAATTGCAGAATTGTGGTGCTTAAAGATACACCACATCAAACAGCTGTAAACCAGTGTAGCAGTGGCAGGGCTGGGAAGTGGCCAGGGGGTGGTTGTGTTACAGAAACTGGCATTTAACAGTACTTGTCTCAGGAGCTGCTTGAACTGAAATGGATCGTTTTTCTTCATTCTTTCTCAGACAAGCAAGGCTGTTAAAATTGTTCAAGCAATGATGCCCCGTTCAAATCTGCCATACACTTGCAGTCTGAGTTCTCCTGTTTTCTCCAAGTTTAAGTTCCCATGTTTTGTATAAGTTCTCTTGTCCTTTTCCCCCCACTGGTTAAGCAAGATTGCTTTGGGATAATGTCCTGTGTCTGTCTGTAGCATGATATTATTGCTGTAGCACAATAGGAGGGCATTATGGGGTGACCTACTCTTCATGCAGTGGCAATTAAGTTAATGAAAGGTATTATTTTGCCCCTTGTACAGTCATCTAAAAGGTTAAGTTCTTAATAGGGGTATACCAAACAGCTTTCTGGCTTGTGTTTGCTCAGAGCAACAGAAGTACTTTTCTGGGTGAATATTGTGGGGTTTTTCTTTGTAATAACACTCATTTTAATGAGATCACTTACTATTTCTAAAAGAGCAGGTAAAAGATGAAGAAAAACAAAGATTCTTCTACTGCGCTTCTTTTCTGATAGATCTTTGACTGATGGTTTAGCTAGAATATTGATTCTGTGATAGGCATTCATTATCTGCTTAGAAACAATCTCAAAAAGAAAGTAGACTGTCAACTCCAGTATATGACTAGGTCTCAATGAAATAAGTTGCCTGTTGAAAAGCATTGTTACAGACGTTGTCCCCTCAAACAAGGCAAATCTTGTAGAGAGCTGTGCAGTGCAAAATTGAAACACTGACTTTGATTTCCTGCCTTGCAGATTGCCACTTTAGCGAGTATGAGATCACTGTGATGCTCACATTGGTTTGTGTTGCAGAATGGCTAATTAAAGGGCTTTTGTGGAGCTCTTGATGGAAAATACATGATCTTTGACAGGTGATATTCCTGTCAAAGAAGACCTAGAGCATTATACGGTAACAGTTCTCTTTTTGTTAAGTACAATATTTTGAAGATGGAGATGACATATGAATCTCTCCTGGCAGTGTCTGATATTTCTAAAAGTTCACTTCCTTCCCTGAGGTGTAAATTCTAATACTGCTTTTACCAGCCTTTGTTCCTTGTACTGTTCAAGTAGACATCATCCATTTCTTCCACTTCAGTTGTTAAGTCCCTAGTTATGCCTGAAGGGAATGTTTAAAAAGAAAATTTCTCTGTAATTGGCTGGTCTGCAGGAATCAAGTATCTTTCAAAGCTGTGGTTTTCGGGTTTTTGTGTGTTTTTTATTTTATTTTTATTTTTGCTTGCAGACTGAAGAATATTTTTTTATGGGAACGAAATTCAGGCAGCTCAGCTTCGCTAGTGTTGAATCTGACAGCCAACAAACAACCCTATGCACTGACAGTGACTTCAACTCAGCTGCTGGTCATTAATAAATGAGCCAGCATTGCTGCATGCTCTTCATGGGACTGTATATTACCTGATGATCCTTAACTGTTTTTAAAGTACTCATTAGTCTGTTTTTCTCTTGTGGATAATAGCCATTTTTTAAAATGTCCTAAGATGAATACTAATATATATTGACACTTAGCCTGCAAGTGCACCTCTTTATTTGATAAGCTAATATTAAGGACAGCTGGTGTTTGGACATTTCTCATATACCTTACCTTTGGGAAACCCAGTCATCTGCTAGACATTTAGATTTCAATCCAGCCAAAAGGTTCATAAGATTCCTTTATTTGATTTCCCTTTTCTGGCATTATCAAGGTCAGCTCTTGGCTTCTGTGTGATACCAAATGCTGGCAGACCACAGTGAAGTGACTCTTACTGCTTCAGGAAGCAAATGTGAATCATCTTGCAGTGTCAAGTGGCTGAATGGATCAAGCTTACAAATTTTGATCTGTTCTAGGAGGATTTGCCTTCTAAAACATGTTAAAACCAATTTAATTTGAAGCTGAGTTTTTATGTAAGCAGGTAAAAATTGTTATTGAAATTATTATTGTAACTGTCTTTGAGCAAAGAAGGTGCCTAGGGAGTTACCCTGTGACTGTTGATTTTGACAATGTCCCTGAGAAAGCATTGGCCCAGGATTCCTGCCCTGCTCTGGCTGCCTGCAGACTCTCTCTGAAAGCATCTAGATGTGCCCTCCTTTTGGATATATCCTGTAACATTAGGCAGCCTATTTGGAGTCAACTCTTCTCCAAATAAAGGTGGGTAGATACGAGTCATTCTTAGTTTCAGGAGTCTTATTATCTAGAGAATTTTGGTCGTTAATTATTTTTTAATTATTATTTTTAGGAACCTGTTAATGTCTTGGAGTGTCCGTGGTAAGCCATGGTGATGCTGCGTAGTTGGTGCAGGACTCTGGCAGAGCAGCTCACGACTGACAGCTGCTGGTGGACAAGGGATCTGCCTGGAGACCTCCCCAGACTGCAGGCAAGCTTTGGCAGAGACAGTGGGAACTGGCAGGAGACAAGCAGAAGAACTGACTGAATAGGTCAGCTGTCTTTTTTATTTAGTGAGGTGCTACTTTGTGACTCTTGTTTTACATAGGCCAGTTCTGAGGTCTGGGTGAATTAGATGCAATTCTCTGAATCGGAGCTGCATTGAGTACCCTAAAAGATCACATAGCCAGAAGATGAGTAGAGCTGTGGTGCTAAACAAAAGCAAGGAAATTAGAAAGAGAGACCCTTCTCAGGAATGCTTTTCTTGGGAAGCTGACGTAACGTGAAACAGTTTTAAGGGTGACGAAGAGTTTGGATATGACTTCAGGGTACAGACCTTAAGGGTGTCATCTACTGTTTGGAACTAAGCAACAAGTAGTAGTGATTAACTGGAAGGAATAATTGCAATCCTGATAACTGCTTAGAGGAGTAGCTGTAATCTCCAATTCCACATAGAGCAATTGCCCAACAGTTATCATGGCCTGTGAGTTCTCAAAGATCTGGAAATCCAGATGGATTCTTTCTTTCTCCTAAAGTAAGGAAACATGAGGCTTAGAGTAGCAACTGTGAACAGCGAATCCCAACAGAAAAACCATATGTGAAAGCTGCTACTCGCCTGGCTGTGTATCTGCTTCCCTTGACAGTATCAGTAAACATTTGCAGAGGCTCTAGAGACTCTTCCACTGCTTGTGTTTGATAATCATCTGATATGCTAGCAGACACCATATTTCCGTTTGGAGGCGAGTGCCTCCAGGAAAGGCAGATCTTAAACACTACAGCTGCTGACACTTTTTCTCCCTTCCACATGTGTGGCTCATCAAAGAAAGCTCAGAGGGTTTATTTTTAACTCTAGGTGGTATAGTGCTACATGTTGGAGGTAGAACAATAAGGTCCAGGCTACCTGGTAGAATTCCTTCCTCCCTTGTTTCCCTCTCTTTCGGAAATAGAAGTGTTAAGCTTCTCTCACACCCTCAAAACACCATCCCCAACCTGTTGCTAGGACCTCAGACTCCCTTTTTGTCTGCATTTTGGTTGGAGAGGCACTTGGCTTCTTATTGTACCAGTATCATCAAGAGATGCAAGCCCGGGATTTTTAGTTTGCACCTTTGCCTAAGTACTTGCAGTTTTGCTTCAGTGAGAAATGGAATTCTCTGGTTTGTTTATTAGCTTCTGACTAGGTTTACATAGAGGAGTTCTCATGGGCAGTCCCATCAGTCCCTGTGGAGATGAACCCCTGCCCTTCTCCTCAACCACTCCCTCAAACCTCACATTTCAAACTTGTTAGGTACTGGGGGGCAAAAATGTTTCTAATCCTCCTTTAACATGAGCAGTGAAATGTTCAGAAGTTCTTGTCTGTATGTCTGTTAGAGGCTTGTCTTTGTCCCTGAAGATAAAGCCCAAGTCCTTCCCCAACCCAAATGAAGGAATTTCAAAGGAGATAAAATCTTGAACAGTATCAGAAATAGCATTTTGATTATCTGAGGTGTGTGTGGAAAATCCTACAGCAAGAATTCCTTAGTGTTGACTGTGTAAATACCTTTGAATATGTTTAAAGCCAGTAGATGACAGGCACTCTTCTGGGTGCCTGTGTGCATGACCACCTTTAAAAAAACTCATAGTAGTTTGTGATCTGCTGATGAGACTGACATTTGTGAGAGACACAAGGATTCATCTCTTTCCATCTGAACTTCCTGATCTGGCCTGACCCGAGATGAGGACACCACACCTCTCTGCCTGCACGATCTCCTCCAGTCCATTAGTAAACTAGTTTGAAATGTAATGGGAAGGAGGTCCAGAGCCAAGGTAAATCTTTAACCTGATGATTCTCATCAATAGGAGTAATCTATTCACACAGAAGCATCCCAAGTGCTAGAGATGTGCTATTTTTTAATACTGTCCTGTCAGCAAATTATTTAATGCTGTAAGCTATTTATAAACATCATTTATAATAAATCCCACTGGCAGTGACAGGCATTTAACTTTTTAATAATATGCAAGGTTTTAATTATTTGAGACAACTAACGTATCTGTAGCTTCTCAGTGTGTGTCTTTCAGTTTTAATAGCTTATGGATCTAAAATTAGCTTGGATTTTTTTTTCCAGCAGGATTCAGGGGTATACCCATGAGACGTATTTCCGTGGCTAGCTGGCATGTTGCAGTTCTGTGGGCAAGACAAAAACTGCTAGGGCATTGCAGAAATGCCATGAGCACTCTCAGAACTGTAGTGTGGAAGGCTCTGGCAAACCCTGATGTTTTCCAGTGACAACCTTCATTTGTAGCACCACTAAGACACACCATGAAGAATGAATTCACTTACAGGCGATGCGTCTTACAGTCACCTTTTCTAGCAGTCAGAAAAGTGATGTCCCAATTTGTGACTTTGTTACTGCAGGTGGCTGGTCAGCACATCCACCAGAGTGGTTCTGCTGGGCTCGACAGCACTGCACGACACACTCTGCCCTTTGGGCTCGTGTCCAAAGGCCCCATAGTGGGGGTTCTCACCTGTACTTACAGCTGGCACTTGGCTCGTCCGGTGCCTAATGGGGTGCTGGAGCAGCACTGGCAGGGAGCAAATTGCTGGTGCTGGAGGAACGAGACTGCCAGCAGTTGAGTGAGTCTTACTCGTAAAATGGTCCTGAAAGGTACTATGGAAAAAACACATTTAAACAGAGGAAGGAAGCTGAGTCCTTGGAGTTGTTCAGCCCCTTTTTATTGCTACAGATGCTGCTGGCAGCCTCCTTCACTAGGAGACCTGTCTGAATTGGTTGAGCTCAATGAGTACCTTGGCAGGGGCCCAAATACACAGGGTTCATGTTCAGACTTGGCACCCCACTGTGCCTTCAGACGACCCAAAGGCCTCGTAGACCCTTCTACCTCCACAGTGGGCCACAGACACCTTTTCCCAGTGACCTTTGTATATATTTGGTCCCTGCTGCTTGAAAGTGTTTTAAAACAGCAACTCTTCAGAAAAGTTCATCTGCAGCAGTGAGGTTTGAGCATGAAGGTAAGTGAAAAGAGACTGGGCTATTTCACACTGTCACACACATGCAGAATATGTAGAGGGAGGGTAGTAGTGCTGGAGGGTCAAACTTGAGTGTTGTACTCAAGTGTGCAGCGTGTTGGGGACCTGTGTGGCTGATAGGGACTGTTTCAAGGCAACCTTTGGAACTGGGCAGCGTGCTGGACTGGTTGGGGTGAGCACTGGATCACAAGTGATGTGGTGTCTGAGGACCCGTTTATTCCTGGCATCCCTTGCCCTAGAAGTCAGCTCTGACAGTCCTAATGGTGTGGGAATCCCTTCTCTCTGCTATCGAATTCAAACTGGTACCTCATGCACATGAATGCCACTCATAGGGAAGGGAGCCCTGTGGAGAAGGAGTGTCCCATTTCCAAAACCAGACTGCAGCCCCAGTGTTATTTTCTCACAGTGTCAAGTTGGCATGTGAGTTGATAAAAATCCCTGGGCTCACATCCTTCCCAGAAGTGCCAGTCAAAACCCAAGCAGCTATTTACCCAAAGTACCAATTTTATAGTTCTGTGTGTGTCTATAATCTATTTACCAGCATTCCTACTTCAGTATGTGCCTGTTAATAAGATTAGTAATTAAAAAGCTTGATAGGAATTGGCAAGCATAGCTCCTCCGCCTCTCCCTCCCCTCCAAGCCGGACTGGCGTGGAGTGTGAGGCAGGGTTGGCAGAGTACCTGAGGGAGTGAAGGCAGGAAGGCTCTGCTGAAACCTCTGCCTACAAGCAGGCAATGGAGAAATCCCGGCCGCTATGGGACAATCCCCTGCAGTTTGTTTTTGCGTGCATTTCCTATGCCGTGGGACTGGGAAATGTATGGAGGTTTCCCTACTTATGTCAGATGTATGGAGGAGGTAAGTGTGGTTCATGATTCTTGCTTCCCTCGAGGAAGAGTGTGGCAAGCTTTAAGTCCAAAAGTATGTTGTCCATGTTAATGTCCTGTTAACCCAGCAGGGTCCAGGGCAGAGTAGGACGTCTGGCTTTCTGTTAGTGTGCAACCTGTCTTATTGCGGCTTTATTTTATGTATTCTTTAGCATCAGGCTTTTACGTGACAGCTGCCCCAACACAGTGGTGCTTGTTTCCTAGAAGTGCAATGAAGCAGTGGGAAGGCCCATGTTTTCTAAAAGCGTGGAGATAGAGTGAGAGATACATGTCCACATGGTATTAATCTATTACTTTTTTGCCCCATCGAACCTTTCTGAAGTCATCAGAAACTCGTTCAGTTCTGTGTGTTCACATATGTGGACTTGAAACATACTGAGAAGGGGAGAGACTTATGCTGATTTAATTAAGGATCAGATGTATCATTTCAAGTTTCTGTCATTAATGTTTTGTCTTTTATACAAAGCCTAACTTTAGGAGGTGATAACTTGGCTGGAAATTTGCCTGAAACACCTTAATCAACAGGAGTTCCACAGCTAAAACCTCCCAGGCACCTTTGAAAATAGAGAATACATTGATTTGGGCTCAAAAAAAAAAGAAAAAGTTCTTTGAAAGTTTATCCTTCTCTTGGGTCCAAATAGAAGAAAGATGATGTCTGTATCATATACCAGCCACAGATGTTCTTCCTTAGAAATCAAGTCAGTTAATTAGATTAATTAAAGACCAACACTAATAATCTCCTCTAATATACAGCTACCACTGTTTTGAAAAATCCTTATGAAGAGCCTCTCTTTATAAGACATCCCAAGTTTTATATTGTTCTCACTGCATCTGTTATCATAGTGTTGGACTCTCCTCAGCCTTGCAGTAAGGGACATGATGAGCATCTGCCTCATCTGCCTTAGGTCTGCCTCCATCTTTTTTTTTCCTTTCAGGAAGAAACATATGGAGATATTTAAGTGCTTTTTGCTTCTTTTATGCTTGTTTTGTTGGCTTGTAGCTTACTTCTAAATGCATGTGTGGCAGTAAGGGTTGGTTCATGCTGGTTTTTGAAAAGCCAGCTCAGTGCTGAGACTGTGTCAGAGCTGTCCTGTGGGATCAGGTCAGAAAAATCCAAATAATACAATAGATGAAGTTAAGTAGAAGATAGATGCTGCAGTGGCTGAAGCTTTGTTAGGTGGTTTAGATAGCAGGAATGATAGGTGTGCTGTAATTCTGCATGTATTCCTCCACCCATGCTTTAAGGGTAAAGACTTCATGTCTGACACCGAACTCTAGCGCAAAGCTTAAAATGTGTTTCTGTATGCATGTGATTACTTTCCTAGCAGCCTATCTTGGCAGACATCCTGAAGGACAGCAAAACTTGGACATTTTGGGGGATTTGTGTGGTTCTTTTGACCAGCCATCTGTATTGCAGTGGATAGTAAAAATTCTCTGAAATGTAACCAAAACTGGAACACTTGATTAACTTGAAATAAGATTAAATAAACTTCCCTGTTTGTTGCAGGGCATTGGCTAGATGACATTTAGAAGGTCCCTTCCAGCTCAAACTATTGTATGATTCTATGATAAACACAAGTATTTTTCGAAAAGCATGTTTTTATAAGAATATTTTTCCATTATTTTCCATTATACTCTCAGTTATTTTCTCTTCCCCAGTTAAATTTACATAGGGAAGGGCAGCTCTTTCTCTACTGTGAAGCTGAAACTCCTGACAGGAGGTTTTGCTTTTCTTAATTCTTCTTTTCACTGCCTTCTTAATGAGGATTCTGTGGCTTTCCAGGGGTCCACAAAAACAACGCAGACAGAACATGGTTTCAGGAACTTAAAAGCTGGATAAGGGGGGACGTCAGCTTGTTTGGCATCTTCCTTTTAGAAAAGCACAGAGCCAGTTCCTGTCCTGCCCAGCAGAACAATAGAGCCCTTATTGCGTATGATACTGATAATTTGCAGTATTTACAAATTAAATTGCTTTATAACCTGCCTTTCTGTTCATCAGCAGATTGCCTCCTTCTCCTTGCTCTTCTCCAGAGAGCTTGGCCTGAGCAGAGCAAGGGGGGGGTTAAACCTCATAGGTGCAGTTATTCTGTCCCTCAGCAGGCTGGGCCAGGCTGAAATGAGACTGGGATGAGTCTACAGCAGGATGCTGAGCAGAGGCGAGGGTGCTGCTGGACAAGTCCAGTGCCTTGAGCAGGCCCAGGGCACATTCCATGTTTTGCCAGCTGCAGGGATCTGTCCTGGGGTCTGGTTTTTGCTGTGCTGAGTCACAGCAAATAAGGAGTTGGTTCATACAGCCGCACTGAGTCACTTGTATGAGGCAGTGTGGTTCTACCCTTTAGGAAAGTAGGGTTGGGAGCAAGATCTGCATGCAAACAGGGTGCAGAGCAAGGGGCAGGGGGCTTAGCCCTGGCACCCCCAGCTGCAGGGGGACATGGAGGTGAAGAGCAAGCCTGAAGACATTCCTGCTGCTTGCAAGGTGGTGTAGTCAATGCCAAGCATGTGGAAGCACTGCTGGGAGAGCAGAAAAGCCTTCACAGAGAGTCTAATGCTGATTCCCTCTGGTGGTACGTGGCAAAACTCTCCTCAGTGGCTGCTGGGACAGCTCACACCCTGCCGGCACAGAGCAGCTGTGGGAGCTCTTAAACCTCCAGCAGCTCCCTTGTGGCATAGGAAGTTATCTAACAGGCTAACAAAGGGGTTGTTAATAACAAGAGAGCTGGGAGGTGGGAAATTAATTCCCAGAATAAACCGGATTATTGCTCTGTGTTTATTTCCAGTTCTTTTTCTCAGTCGCTGCCCAGAGTTCATTCCTCCACAGCACTGCACAGAGCCCATTGCAAGGAATGTTAATGCCACAGATTAAATACTGAATAAGAGATATTTACGTAAATATTTTGGCTTGCTGTAAAAAGGGAAGCAGGGAAGCCTTCGCAAAAATACAGCTTTTGACTCAGTCAGCAGCTCTTTCTGAAGCGAGCCTGTGAGCCCCAAGTTGAGTACAAGGATTTTCTTTTTTTTTGGCAGAAATTTAAGCCAAAGCACATCCTGGTTGCCAAGTGGGAAGGTCTTTTCATTGTCAACCCGTTCCTGCTGCTTCTCCTCTTCCACAGGAGTATCCCTGTGGCTCTCCATGTGGGGAAGAAGTAGGGATGAGCAGCCCCACACAGGGGAGCCTGTGCCTCCCATACCAGAGTCTGTTCCTGCAGGTGGGACCCTGGGGGAAAAGCCTTCATCCCTTTCCTGGTGCTTGTGGGATCAGCATGGGGTTTTAGGAGCTCTTTGGTTTGCTTTTTTGTTTGTTTGTTTGTGGTTTTTTTTTAAGCCAGGCCAGACCTCAATATGTGACTCAAAACTCTCCATTCAACATGGACATTGCTGTTACTTTTTCTTTGAGCACTTTGGCTGTGCCGCAAAATACCCCACATGAAGTAAATCTTTTCCTTGTCCTCTTTCTCTCATTATAGTTTACAAGGTTTGGCTGGTGTTTGGTTACCCTTTAACAGCCCCAGCCCCCAACTTTGCTCAAACCGCCGGTGATGCATCTGGGTAGCCCTGCCACACCGGAGTGGTGACCAACACAGTTTAACAGCAGAAGTCCCAGCTCTGCCAAGTTCCTGCGGAAAATTCCCTGTGCCCGGGCAGTCAGCACCCACCAGCCTATGCGACACCGCCTGAAACCCTGTGACATCTCCTTCAGGGTTGGGCCATGCCCTCAATACACAAGGTGCCTGGACAGGACCCAGACCCAGCCAGCCCCTGGGACACTGACAGCATGATTTGACCACAAATAGGGCAACATGGTGTTTATCTTGCTGCTGATCTGCTGAAGGCTGACTGTTGGGGGTTTTTTTGCAGGTGGCTTTTTGATCCCATACCTTATCATGCTGATTGCCGAGGGGATGCCACTGCTCTACTTGGAGCTGGCTGTGGGGCAGCGTATGCGTCAGGGCAGCATCGGCGCCTGGAAAATGATAAGCCCCTACCTTTGTGGTGTTGGTATGTTCTCAGTTTTCATCTTTATTTTCCAGCATGGAGGGAACATGGGTGATTTTTGAATGGAGAGCTTTGTCTTTCAGAGGAGAAACCAGGAGAGAGCTGGGGTTCTGCTGGGCCTCACCAGGCTGAGCAAAGCAGATACCTCATGGCATGCATTTATCCCATCCCTTGCAGGGCATTGGGACTAGACCCCAACTCACTGTGTTGGGTCCCTGCATTCAGGGGTGTAAGTCCCCCTGCCCTCAGGCACCCTGCCAAAATCACAGTGTGAATGCCAGTGCTAAACCCATCCCCTGGGGCTGCCTGCACTGGGCTTTGACCCCAAGAGCAACTTCCCGATGAGCTCAATATGAATGATAAAACAGTGCCTTAATTTCCTACCATTGCTGTTGCTGTCTGCCATTTACCAGTGTCCTTTCTTAGCTACATTATTATGTTATTAAATTACCCTGATAACCCAAGCTATTGTTAATTTGCATACACATACAATATATTTTTAATGATACTTTGACTATTCACCCCCAGGGCCTAAAGTATAAAATCCAGTGCAGGATAGTCCTGGCAGGAGGAGGAGGTGGATGCAGCACCAAGGACTTGCCCTGTGCACACAGCTGTGCAGGGTCAAAGCCCCTCCTGCACTGGGCATGGTGATGCTGCCCCCACCCCACACCCCCCAGGTGTTTTGAGACCGTGGGCATTTCGGGGTTTTGCTGCTGACCAAGTGTCTCCCCCCATACCTGCAGGTGTTGCCAGTGTTGTCGTCTCCTTCTTCCTCTCCATGTACTACAACGTGATAAACGCCTGGGCCTTCTGGTACCTTTTCCACTCCTTCCAGGTGTGTGGGCACTCAACAGCTCAGTTTGGCCCCACTGTGGCCATGGAGGGTCATGGTGGCTTGGCATTGATGCTGGACGTTGCATGGTACCATCGTCCGCTGTAGAGCAGAGGTGGATCAGTGGCAAAAACTCCATAAACCCACCCAGGGCTTTTCTGGAGGGAAGAATGAGGCAGTGGTGTCCTCCTCTGTCTGCTCTCCCAGGGGTGTTGGATGTTGTTTTCTTGCTGTCAATCACAGGTCAAACAGGTCAAACCCTGTGATGCATTGATGGCCAGGGTATCCTACATCCTTGGATGGGTCTGTCTGATGGAATGTGAGAGGATTGGCCATGGGGGAGAGGAGCGGAGAGTGTCATTGCTGGGGGAGAGGGTTAAAGAGGCTCAGTCCTCAGGAAGAAAATCAGTCTGGTCATTCCCAGAGAAGAGACAGAGCAGATCTATCCCTGGGGAGAGGGTCAGAAAGGGTCATCCCCACAGGAGAGGATCAGAACAAATCAGTCCTTGAGGAGAGGGTCATTCCCAGGGGAAAGTGTCAGAAGACATCATCCCTAGGGGAGAGGGTCCTCCTGCGCCCCAGGTAGCACCGTGCGGAGATATGCAAGCCCCAGGCAGAAAGGCACCCTCACCATCATCCTCCCCATCCCTCACTGGCACCTCAGCTCTCCCTGCCATGCTGACTCCATGCCCCTCTCTCCTAGGACCCCCTGCCATGGGCCACCTGCCCCCTCAACAGCAACCGCACCGGGTACGAGGAGGAGTGTGAGAGGACGTCATCCACCCAGTACTTCTGGTACCGGCAGACCCTGAACATCTCTCCATCGCTGGAGGCCAGCGGGAGCGTGCAGTGGGAGCAGGCGCTCTGCCTGACACTGGCCTGGCTGGTGGTTTACCTCTGCATCCTCCGTGGCACCGCCTCCACTGGCAAGGTGAGAGAGGGGCACAGCCCTGCCGAGCCTGGGCAGGATGTGGGGAGGGCAAACAAGTGCCCAAAGCAGTGGCCATGGCTGCAGAGCACTGAGCTCTGCTGCCTCTACTGCCCTGTCAAGTTGCAATTCAAGCAGGATCAACCAAAACACTGAGTGATACTAAAAAAATAATCCAGAAAAGTCCTGTAAATGCAGCAAAACCACGGCCAGGCTGCTGGCCGTGAGGAAAGCTGTCTGCCACAGCAGAGCCATGTCAGGAGACGTCTATTCCTTGGTCTTTGCAAGAAAAAAAAGACATCTACTGGGCATGATTTGCTCGCCTTTTATTCACAGCACAAGTTATGAGGAAGTGGGAAGAAAAACCCCAATGTCCTGGCTGAGCCTGCACTAAGCAGCAAGCTGAGGGCTGTAATCCCCAAATCGTCTTAGCTGAACACAGAAAGCCAAGAGACTATAAACTAAGAATAACCTCTTAAACTTGTTGCAACTAATTCAATTCAATTTTGATTCAATTTGATTCAATTCAAGTTTGATTTTGACCTTCTATGAGGTCTGCTTGCCTTCCTCCTAGAGCAAATGATGAATGACCTTTGCCTAATGAGTTCTTAATACACAGTTGCACACTGGTGTTACTCCACTAAATGATGCAGAACTGAGTTTGTGAATGCTGCAAATATGTTAGACTTCTGTTTGATTTCCAGTCAAAGAGAAGACCCTGGGAACAGTAGCACAGGTCTTCATTTTTAATAAAAACTTGCTTCCCTAAGATGTAAATCTAAAGTTAGATTTGTCTGAAAATATTTCTTTCAAGATTATTAGATGAGAACAAACACAATAATTGAAATTATTTATGTAAAGTAAATAAGACTGACCATAGTGGGTTAGCTTTGCCTTATATATTCTTTAGACCAGGATGTTTCCCCTCCTTCCTCAGGTCGTCTATGTGACAGCCTCTTTGCCATACTGTGTTCTCATCATATACCTCATCAGAGGATTAACACTTCATGGAGCTGTGAACGGTCTTGTCTACATGTTCACACCAAAGGTACAGAAAAACTCTACTGAATTTTTCATGAAATGTTATTAGTTACTGAACGTGTAGGTTTTTTAAAGCTGTTGATGCTTTTCCTTATATTGAATTTTTGCAGCAGTAGCGTAGGTCAGCCAGCTGGAAACCCTGGTGATTTCCAGGAGTGGGAGTGGAGTGGCAGCTGCTCTGCCATGGTGCCCATAAGCTGCTTGCTTTCTCCTGCAGAAAAAGACCTGCCCATTAGCATAGCCTATAGCATATTGCTTTCAGTCATATAAGTAACCCTGCCTAAAAAAAACCCTGAACTAAAACGAGCGCACAAAGGGACCCATCCCTGTCCCCACCCATGGAGCCTGGAAGGTGCATTGCTGGGAATCCATATGTAGCTTTATGCTCTCACTCTCTGGGTCTGGCTTTGCAGCTGGAGCAGCTGTCAAACCCCAAGGCGTGGATCAGCGCTGCCACACAGATCTTCTTCTCGCTGGGCCTTGGCTTTGGCAGCCTCATTGCCTTTGCCAGCTACAACGAGCCCAGCAACAACTGCGAGAGACATGCCATCATTGTCTCACTCATCAACAGCATCACCTCCATCTTTGCCAGCATTGTGACCTTCTCCATCTACGGCTTCAAGGCGACGTTTAACTATGAGAGCTGTATAAACAAGTAAGAGCCTGGTGTTCCACTCGTTTCCCACTGCAAGCCGTTCTGGGGCAGGTGAGAGGGGAGGTAAATAAATAACAGCATGCAGTGCTGCCAGCACTGCCCCAAGACCAGACCTGATAGTGCTCTAATAAAGCTAATGGAGCTATTTAAAGCGATGAAGCCCGAGATGAAAGGTCAGAGTGACTTGCCACTTGACACCTGCGTGCTGCTTCCAGGCACGGGCCTTGTTGAGAGGATGTTTGCCTGGGCAAGTCACAGAGGCACTGTCTCCAGTGTCCTGGTCCTGGCACATGTCGGAGGGAGTGGGGAGGACTGATTAATAAAATGCAGCAATGCTCAGACACCCCACTGTTAAGGCTAAGCCCTGTTCCAGGAGCTCAGCCTACTCGGCTGTGATGCTCTGGAGGTGCCTAGGAGCCTGCAGGATTGTGTCCTGAGGCAGCAAGCTTGCATGAAGTCCCTGGCACAGGGCCTGCAGCAGTTACACTTTTACTCATATTTTTAGAGCTTTCAATCTATCTGCTGATCAGAGAGGAAACCAAGCTGCTAGTCCCTGCTCGTTGCCAAAAAGCTCATTAAGTTGATGGGGTGTGGACGTGAGATTGGAGGGCAAAGGGGAAGAGACACCAGCCAGTGCTGGCTGGCACCCAAAATACCTGCCTGGGAGCACAGTGTGGGTGCAGAAGCTGCTCCCTACAAAGTACAGATAAGTGCAAGATCGCCCATATCCCATTCTGGAAGTGCCATGGCTCTCACCTGGGGAGACTGGATCCCTGGGGCCAGCAGGACATCCACATGTGGGGACCAATGGAGAAGGGGATGAGGTGTTCTGGGCACTGATGGAGAAGGGGATGAGGTGATCTGGGCCTGAAAGCCATTAAATGCCTGCAACCCTTCCCAGGGTGATCCTGCTGCTGCTGAATGCTTTTGACCTGGAGGAAGGCTCTTTGACAGCGGAAAACCTCAGTGAGAAGAAAGACTACCTCATGGCCACCTACCCACAGGAATATGCCCAATTAGTGCCTCAGATTAAAAACTGCAGCTTAGAAGCTGAGCTAGACACGGTGAGTTGCCACTTTGTGCTGTCTCCTCTCCTCCCACTGAGCCCGGGCAGCCCCATGCGAGCACAGCCGCATGCCTGACCAGGGCTGGGGATCATTTCTACCCCTCAGGATGGGGCAAGGGGCTTGCCTGGGTGGTTAGCAGCTGAGCTGGGTGGCAGTGCAATCTGACTGCTGGCTCTGGCTGTGGAACAGGACAGGTCACAAAGATTTGGGGGAAATGATTTTTTGCTACAAGTGGCACTTCGCCAGTGTCCGTGCAGTTTGGATAAACTGGCAAGAATCTCATCTGCTTTTGCTGTGCACAACCACCACTGCACATGTACCTTGTCACGACACAGAGTCACTCTCTTATGTCCATCTTATGTCCTTTATCAAGGATAAGGAGCTGCCCGTAACTCATTTTTCTCCCCTTCTCTCTGACAGGCTGTCCAGGGGACAGGACTGGCGTTTATAGTCTATTCTGAAGCGATCAAAAACATGGAGGTGCCCCAGCTGTACTCTGTGCTCTACTTCTTCATGCTGCTGATGCTGGGCATCGGCAGCATGCTGGGGAACACGGCTGCCATCCTCACGCCGCTGACCGACAGCAGAGTCATTGGCGCCCGCTTCCCCAAGGAGGTGATCTCAGGTAAGCGCCTGCCGTGTCACAGTGTAGGCTGCACAGTGTGTGTGTGCAAAGGCTTTGATCTCCCACTGCCACTGAGGGTCCCCCTCTGACCTTGAGTGGAGCAGGGAATAGTAAATATGCTGCTGGAAAGGTTTGCCTGACTTTGTGAAATCCTGCCCTGCCTTCAAAGCACTTCCCCTCCGGAGCTCCCAAAGCACTAGCACAATTGGGGCTGTGTATTTACAGGCTTCCCAACACACCCCAGCTCCTTCATACTGGTGTCTACTGACTGGTGAAACTCAAAGAGACAGTATAGGTGTAAAGATACTTGCAGTGAGCAGCTCTTTAGTCACATCACCAGTATCCCAACTGCGAAACACCTGTCTTTGGCCAAAAGTAATATGTGCTCCTGTTCAGGCATGGAAATCAGTTGTCCTATCTTAAAACCTGTTTTAACAGGATGCCCAGTGGCAACACAACATACTGCATGCACATGTCACAAGGCTATAGCCAAGACTTCGTTGTCTTGACCATTTCTGGAGTGATGTCCTGTGACTATGCAGGTCTGAGGAGCAGTTTAAGGACAGTCATACATGCAAAGAGACATCTTTTCCGTAAGGGAAAAGAAATTATCCTTCTCCTCAGAGAAAGCTGCTCAGCAGAAATTCTACGAGTTTTTTAGTCACAAAGAGTATGACATTTCCCACACACAATTAGACTTCCAAGAGTAATGGTAGGGTCTCTCTTTTATCCATGCAGGTGTTGTGTGTTTCATTAACTGTGTGATTGGTCTGATCTTCACCATGGAGGCTGGAAATTACTGGTTTGACATATTCAATGACTATGCAGCCACCCTCTCTCTGCTGCTCATCGTGCTGGTAGAAACAATCGCTGTGTGTTACATCTATGGGATAAGAAGGTAAAAGCTTGAATCCTCCTTTCTTTACAGTGGGATAGCAGGGGGAGTGGCCAAGAGCCAGGACATGCAGGGCTAAGAATAAACATACTGCTCTAGGCTGTATGTTTCTCCTATGTTATAGTATCAGCAAGGCGATGGGGGTCTCCCCTGCCCTGCAGACCCCTTCCAGGGCCTTGGTTCAGGGCTGTACAGGGGCCAGGCTGGGCTGACACCACCTCTGCTGGCAGGGGAGTGCTAATGAGCTGTACACACCTGCTCCCTGCTCTGGTCTTTGGTCTCAAGAGCATCTTCTGCCAAAACTCTGCTCCTCCCATGACAGTAGTTCAGCATGAGCACAACAGTGCCAGTAAGTTTGGTTTCCAAGGTGGTCACCTCACAGATTGCTGGTGTCCCAAGTCATCCCTTGTGGGCAAAAGGAAGCTTTGGCATCAGGAGAGGTTTTGAACAGCAGAGGTGTTTGTGCTCATGGCATCTAAAGGAAAAGGCTTCAGCATTTTCTTTGTTAGTCTGCCAGCACAGTACATGTACAGGCACCTACAAGGGTATTACGTCCTTGATGAGTTCAAAGCCGTCCAGTCAGATCCAGGTCTCCTGTGAGATTTTAGGTACACTCCCCAGCATTAGTACTTCCTCAAAGACAGCAGTGAGAACAACTCAACTACACAAAACCCAGCAGTTTTCTCTCCACAATACCTGAGCATCATTTCTTTTCTCTCTTAACTGACATCAGAAACACCCTGAACTTATATTCAAGTCAGAACTTTTCTTGATGTACCTATTTCTAGCTACTCTCTGCAGTTTGGGGTTCTCTTGGAAGTCCCACTGTCTGTTTTGATTTCACCCTCATGATGAGTCTGGTGAGCCAGTTCTTCAGACAATACCTCTCTGCTCATTTGTGGTGAACTGTACTCCCCTTTCTCATCTGACATGGAATTCTGCAGGTGGTTTTGAAGTAACTCAGAAAAAGGTATCGATTGAACATATGCAGCTGTTCTCAAAAATATGCTTTTTTTTTTTTCAACACAGATTTGAGAAAGATCTTTACACCATGATTGGACGCAAGCCAAACTGGTATTGGAAAATTATGTGGGCCTTTGTTAGTCCTCTGCTAATTATAAGCCTATTTATATTTTACCTCACCGACTATATCCTCACAGGAACCTTGCAATACCAAGCGTGGGATGCCACACAGGTAAAATAGTTTTGGGGGGTTTTTGGGTTTTTTTAAGCTTTCCCTAGTTCCTGCAAGGATACAGCCTTCCTTCCTAACTAAACCGTTCCACAGAACTGGAAAGCTTGCAGCTAGAGTGAGGGCCAACCCCTAAATTTGTGGAAAGGAAAAACAAGGAAAACTTGACCTAATGATGATGCCATGATTCTGTAAAATCAACTAACATCCCTCTGATTCTTAATCGACTCCTTCATACAGTAAAACATTATTAATGTTGAAGACCCAAATCTCATCTTTCAAAAAACACTTTAAACAAAAAAACCTACTTTCAAAGTGTATTATTTTGAACAAAATTAGTGGTATTTTAAAAGAACCGAACTGCTGCTGGCATGGTTTTCATAATTTCCATATCCATTTTTCTTCCTGGCCAAGAACACTTTTGTACGAATACTGAACTGTGTATTTATCACAGAGTAATTAATCACCGGTTCCATAACCTTTTGTGGAAATGTTCCCATTGTGCAGAAAGAAAATATGTAATTGGCCATGACACAAAAACAATTTAGGACCCATGGCGGGCCTGGGCTGTTGACTGGGTGTCAGCATGAGCCCACAGCCTCCAGGAGAGAAACACGGAGGCCTGACAGAGGTCAGGGCCCAGCCACCTCATTAAGAGACACAAATCAAGCCAAAATCCGCTCTTTACCAAAGCTTGCAGAAATTTCCCCCAATCCTGTTGTCAGCAGCTCTGTTCTCGTTGTCAGTTTTCAGGGTGGTTGGGCAAAGAACAGCGCTGAGGGCAGTCGAGGGCTGGCACAGCCAGAAAGTGCTTCTCAGAAGTCCCACTTAGATCCATGCGCACAGCTTTGCTCCTGACCCGACTCCTGGACTCTCAAACCCACAGATCCCACAGATCCAACACTGCTTCTCTCCCTTGCAGGGGCAGCTGGTGACGAAGGATTACCCAGGCTACGCCCTCGCAGTGATTGGGCTGCTGGTGGCAGCATCCACCATGTGCATACCCCTGGGGGCACTAATGACTTTTATAAGGAAGAGACTGAAGAGGGAAAGAGTTTCAACAGTTGCATGAATGCTGACAGCTGGATTTGGGAAGACCTTACCCCCCGTCATCAGTGACAGGGCACTTCTGGAAGACAGCAGCAACCATTATTTGTAGCAGCTATTTATAGAGTTGAGAATGGTGGGTGCTATATTGACCAAAAAGTGCTCTTGGGAGGTTCCACAATGGTTTGGAGAAAAAAAAGCTCTTCTGTAACAAGATGAAGCTTTAAAATAGCCTATGTATGAGAGGGGGAAACCAGAAGAGCAGCTCACAAAATGCTAGTTAGCACAAATTAACCAGCACATCAGCCCATTACACCATGTTAGGTAATTCTTTTCCACTTTGTTGTAGCACTGCCTGTGCAGAAACATGAGAAACCAACTAAGCATGTTCCTGCACCAAAGTACCAGCAAATATCCTTTACCCATTCAAGACAGCTGCACTTAAGAGTGCACTTTATTTCAAATGACATCTGTACTTCATCAACAGAGGAAACTGTTGAAGTCTGCCACTGAGAATGTGATAATCCCTTTCCTACATGGGAGAAATCAGTAGCATGGTATCAGGAGATAAGTGTGGCCCACATGGCTTATTTTATACTGGTGTTCAGCAAAGCAGTTCATATATATATATACATATATATATATATATATATGCAAACACATATATGAGTTGCACAAGTTCTTTCCCCCCAAGAAGTAAGCTTCCAATTCCAGTACATAACTGTGCACTGTGCTGTACTTTGTATTTTCTAGGGATGCACTTTAAGTACACTAGAAGGTATCTGTGATAAAGCTGCTTTATGAGCCCCACCCAAACAAAAGTATGCCATATAATTAGCTTTGACAAAGTTCATATCCAGGTATTCTTTAATCATCAGATGTAACAATCCAGCAGTTCCACTGACCTGGTTAATTTCCCCATGTATATGTTTTATAAAGAAAGCAACATGTTTAAATTGTAAGCTTCATGTAATAGAAAACATTAAAATTATATCTATGAACTTTAAAAAAGTCGCTCTGAAGAACACTTGAGAAACACTCATGGGATGGGGGTTCTTGATACAGTGTCTTAACTATGTAACCATTAGAAGATGGAAGTGCCTTACAAAGGAAGGATTAATTTCACACATTGTTAAAGCACAACAATGCAGGTCTCTCGTTCTGAGCCGAAAAGCAAGAGGCAATTGTACGGCCTTCAGGGGTGGGCAAAATCCTGACAGTGACAGCCAACACCAACAAGACCTGCTTAGTCTGTAACAGCCCCTGGAAACAGGACACACCTCCCTCCCCAGGCTCTGCTAACAAAGGAAAGACGACCTTTTCACATTTCGGTTTATTAAAAATGGATACCATAAACAAGACCTGTACAAAAAAATATCTGAAACTGCCCAGAATTTGGTAACAGTTGCGTGATGAGAAGTTATCGTCTTGGGCCTCCTCTTCCTCTTCCACGACCTCGGCCTCTGCCACGGCCTCTGCCACGGCCTCTTCCAGCAACTTAGCAGGTGAAAGAAAAAGGATAAATCAAGTGAGACCCAGGAATACTTTCATTTTAATTAAAACATTCTGTATCGAGCATAAACCACCACACGGCTTCCATGTGATGAGACATGAAGTCAGACATTAAGTCTTTTAATGCTCAGTAAGTCTCAGGCAATATTTTCATCTTTAGTACTGGGTTTTTCAGTATACAACTTCCACAGACCAGTCTCTGTCCTTGGCTTCACTGCAGAAAACAAGGGGATGTAACAGCTGGCTGCTCCCAAGTGCTAGGGTAGGTCTGACAGGGAACTAGAATTCCTCCTCTTTTTCGTTTTCATAAAATCTCATTTTCCAGAAGGGATCAGAAAAAGTGTATGCAAGACAAGAGTATTTTGTTACTATACAGTACGGAGGATAAGACTTTTTTTTTTGGCCACAGCTCTCACTGTGCTTTATGAAATACTCTGCTTAGGGGAAATGAGAGTTTTAACATGGTGTGATTCCCAAGCTCACCATTCTCAGGCACCATGTGGAAGGGCAGCATTTTGAAGGGATCCCACCACCAAACAGCTATTTTCAGTGATACCTCTGCCAATTTCAAACGTGGCTCTGAGGCCAAGGTCTTGGCTGTGTGCCCCCAGTTTTAATTACTGCTGTTTAATGGTAAAGGGAAAACAGAAGCACAGGATAATTCAGGTTGCAACTGCTGAAGGTCACGTGATCCATACAGTGATAACGTGCCATTGCACCAGTTTCTCCTAAAGAAACATGACTTGACCCACCCAGTTGCTAGGCCACCCTACAAACTTAAGAAATTACTGATTCATTTCAAACATGTTTGTGAGTGCAGGGCTCACAAAGATACTAAAAACTCTGCAGAAATGGGTGGCTCGGTAAGAGAGACACACTAACACCCCCTCATGGAACAGGTCATGGATTATTCTGGCATGTAGGTCACAAATGCAGCAAAGACAGAAAGAGCAGAGCCACGAGGCAAATTTCACAAAAGCACGGTGTCACTTTTTTGCTGATAACAGACTGACTCTGTAATTTCCATGGAAATGTCAACACCTGACTAAACGATGGCAGCAGCTACGTGCATCAGTAGAGAGCTGCATTTGCTAAGCGCCAGCACACCTGGACCCAAGGCACATGTGCCACATACAAGCACAGCCAGCATCCTGCCTTCCACTGACAATTCCACTTGCCAAGGACAGACCATGGGCTCTACACTCTTGAAGCTGAAGAGCATTTACAGATTAAGGCAGCACAACACAGCTGCAGTCAGAGTGCTTCCGCACACTGTGGATGCAGCGAGCATCAAACGGAGGTAACTGGGGCTGTCACAGCTGCTTCCCTCAAAGAACCAAACACTGTGGGGTCCAGGAAAAAAAGCAATCCAATCACACTCATTTCTCCATGTGGTCAGATTGTTTTTAAATGGACGTGAGAGGAGCAAAATCCCCTTGGGAGTTTTATCTGTCTTCTCTATAGAGACAACAGCCACAGCGCTTGCACTTGGTGATGCACCCGAGGGCTCCTCACACCATGTCAGAAAGGTGAGCACACTAATGCATAACACACTGCAGATCCAAATACTTACACACTAATTGCAGGAGAAAGGGCATGACATTACTCTGGAGCACAATTAGCTTTCACTCACAGCTCACTATTTTAAAAATACACAGACTAACTGCTGGGCAAAATATATACTGCTATGGATATTCTGGGGTTTACTGGATATTAATCTTTAATAGTCTGGATTAAAACTGAATTACTCGCTATAATATTTGGCTTCTAAGGAAAAGGTTTCTGTTCAACAGTTTTTTGAGAAAAAAGTTCCAGGAAGAGCAGAGTGGAACACTACTGGGAACCAAAGCTAGAGATCTGCTCATTGGAATATACAGCCTGGACTCCCTCAGGTTCTCAAGTCTCTCAAATCCAGTTCTCAGAGATACCATTTTTATCCACCACCAAATTTCAGTGAACCATTCAGTACTGTTTGAGATACTGTCCTGTACCTTCTTATTAGTCTGTGTGAAGCTCCCCATACAAACTGGGGAAAATCAGCAGACACTCGGAGAAGAGAAGTGTAAATCGCTGTTGCCAACTGTGAGACTGAGATAGGTTAAGATTTACTCAAGCTGCAAAACATTTACATTTTTAAAACCAGATGCATGAAAAGCCATACGCATAATTTCAAGTGAATGACTGCTCTGCAGATGACAAGAAGGTGGGAAAGGCAGATTAAACCAGTACAGTATCAAACCCTCAAAGAGGAAGGAATTAGACACCAGATGCAGACGTTAAGACACTCAAATCAGATGTCTTCAGATTCAGAGGACTAAACTGCATACAAAGGCAGAACAAACACAGGAAAGCACAAACTAACCTGCTTCTCTTTTCTTGGATTTGACTTTTGGTTCAACATCCACTAGCAAAGTATCCAGAGGCAAACTGTCCGGCAGAATGAAGTAGCGGATATTATTCCCTCGAATACTCAGCGTCTCCAGCTGTACGGGTTCTCTGTTCTTCAGTGTCATTTTCACTGCTTTGAGATGTGTATTCATGCTGACATCCACTCCTGAAACAACACAAGCCTGATTTCAGGGATGAGGTCTCTTGTGGCCTATTTTTTGAAGAATGCACATGCTTCAAGATCTAGCCTGATCATTAATCCCTGCTTCTGCCACTCATTAAATAATTCACCCTCTAATAGAATGAAAATACGTGTCTTTTTCTCTCTTAAACTATGCCCAGTAAGTTATCAATTGCTGCCTTTAACACGTTATTGCTAGAGAGCTTTATCTAGGTCTTGGCAATAGCCAGGTAGCCAGTAGTTAAACATCCAGTAGCCAATGGTTAAATCAGTTCTGAACAACAAATAAACTGCTGCTTATTACAGAAGTCTAATACTGTCCTTACTCCTTTAAAAAGAAGTCAAACCTCTCAGGTTTTCCTGTAAGCCTTAGGAAAATCCAACCACCAAAGCAGTATTTATTTTCTGATAAAATACATCCAATACCAGAGTGGTATCTACCACAAAAGTACATAAAATACCCTCCTGTAAGGAACAACCGTTGTGCTCGCACGCTCTCAGAACAGCCAGTATGTAAGAATTGTATGGAATCAGTACTGTGCCCACTGTGCTGTGCTGTGCTGTGTGTAATCCCAAAATGGAAACTATCTCAGTTGGATGCATGTATTAAATAACAGTCATGAGAAGCAATTAAAAAGTTTTTATTTTGCTTATGGCAAGCTTTCCACGGGATTTGATCTCCGGCTACGAAGATGAAAACAAGAGTAACTTTTTCAAATCAAAACAGAAACAAAAGATTGATGCTGCTGTTTACAAACACCTGCTAATCCAGCGACAAGGCACCCACAGGAACAAAATTTTACTGTGTTCAAACTTCTGTACAAACAACCCTTTGTGATAAAAATAAACTGTAAAATGTGTTACCAAGGTAAGTAACACAAGTGAGCATCAGCCCAGAACCAGAAGAACCACTGTGCTGTGCTTATTCCACATACTTCCTCTGTCCTCATCCCCCTCCTTCTGGATTTTACAGAGCTTTCTGGCCCCTCCACTCCACCTGACCCAGACCCTTGGTTCATGTAAGGTGTATTATATGAAACCTGCCTCTTCAGCAACCCAGCTCTGGCCAACCCCCAGAAGAGACTGCACAATCCAACAGCACAGCAATTATGAACACAGTTCACCGGCCACTGTAAAGGGAAGACTGCAGTTTGAGAAATATGGACTGCATTCCAAGTGTTTGCAGGTTCTTAGCAGCAAATGAGAGAAGCTTTGCTCAACAATTAAGCCTGAAAGAGCCGTGAGGTCAGGAGACCAGCAGCGTGTTTGCTGCCCACCTGGCTGGGTTCAACAAAGCATGCTGCAATCGGGTACCAGGGTGGTGCACTCCCCTCTAATCAAAGCTGATGGACCTGGCTGCAAAATAATGCCAGTTTTGAACTCTGACAAATCTCCACAGATTGCTACTGGCCAAAAAAGCGCCTAACCAATCCTCTGGAATAAAATTCAAACTTGACGGAGTTGTACTTTTTTTTAAAGAGCGTCTCGGCAGAAGAGCTTTTAAAAGCTGCCTGAGGTGAGTGTAGGAAAGGAGATAAAGCACTTTCCTCAGCTCACCTGTGAGGGTTTGCCTTGTTAAACACAAGGCGCACCACCTACATACCTGATGTCTCTGAAGTAAAGCTCACAGGAACACCCTCAGAACAATGTCCCTCACTGAGATTATTAAAGCAAACAAAATCGTTTGCGCATTTTTTAATACATGAGAACCATATACTAAACCATAAAGACTTTCCCTACAACTTTCAGTTCAGTGAAACGAAGAAGCATCTGCTAAACAATAACACCCACAAACTAACAGGACCGACCCCTGGCAACAGCAGGGGGGCATACTCTCATTGACAGGATTCCTTTTTGCCCTGAATCCCACATCCAGCTTCACATTTTCAAACCCACAGTCTTGTTAAATCAGTGCAAATATATGCAAATATGCATTTGCATCTAAGTTCACCTTAAACAGAGTAAAAACACGTTCAACAGAAATAATTATGGTTTTGATCAGAACTGCCTATGTACGAAATTTAACCAACCTGAGACCACATCAGCACTTAACATTTGGCATTTATCTGCGCTACCATTGAAAAAATAAGTCCATCTTCAGGTGATTCAGTTGCAACATTTGGAGGCACTGAAACATCTTACAGAAGTTTAGCTGCATAACCACTGCCTGTTTGATACAGCAGTAAAACCACCTCATCAACATTACCACTGGAACAGTTTGCCCAGAGAAGCTGTGGATGTCCCATCCTTGGCTGTGTTCAAGACCAGGCTGGATGGGGCTCTGAGCAACCTGGTGTAGCAGGAGGTGTCCCTGTCCATGGCACTGGGGTTGGAACTAGATGATCTTTAAAGTCCCTTCCAACCCACACCATTCCATGATTCTGTGATAAGGCGCTGCTAAAATTCTAAGAGACTACAAAACACTTGCACTGGCTTTGCGATGGTTTGGGAAAGTTCACTTCCTTCCCCCCCGAGCCTGTTTGGAGGCAAAGCCCACAGTCAGGCTCAGAGGCTCCCAGTGCTACAGTGAATTTACAGCCTCCCAGCAGCACCTTAAAAACAGAGAAGGATAATCACAAAATATACCCTGGCCAAACCATGGTTGAAGTCGCCCACTAATACAGATCAAAGACAATCTGTGACCCATTGAAATTCCCCAGTATTTTCATGGTTGCCTATGGAAGGCTGGCTGGTCACAGCTGACTCTTCCCAGCGACTTCCGACAACATCCAGACACAAACACGAACGCACCTCGCGCTTCCACAATAAAAACGTGAATTCAAAAGCTTTTCTTCCAGCGCGGGTCCCCGCAAGAGGGAGCACAGGACAAAAAAAGCTCAGTCTGAGCCGTGGCTGCCAATTGTCTGCCGAAAGGCGACTGGGAACACTTAGCTACAGCCTCCTATCCTGCCGTACCTGTGATCGTTCCATGCACCTGCGTCCCATTCTTCAGCTCGATGGTCACAGTCTCATGGCTCAGCTTCATCAGAAACCTGCGAATTGAAAACGCGTTCAAAAAACCCCAACCCCATCGCTCCCACACAAAGCCGTACGTGTTTCACAGCCTGCACACCAAGCACCCGCTCGCCCCGAGCTCCCAAAGACGGCGCCCGCGGATTCTGCTGGGAATGTTTCAGCGACAAACCCTACGTCCCGCCCAGCCACGGGAAGTTGGGACACTGCCGGACACCAGCGCCTATTTCCCGGCGGAACAGCCATTGTTATACAAAGAAGGAACCATTTTACAGCTTGTCAGCATGCCGGCAAGGCAACGCTCTCCCCATCGCGGGGGAGAGGATTCCCCCCAAAACCGGGGGGCTTTGCTGAGCGACCCGCGCAGGCCCCGGGGCGGGAGCGCGGCCCAGCAGAGCGGGGCCCCGCCACCAGCAGCCCCCGCAGGGCCCATCCCGGGGCCGTTCCCGCCCCGCAGTGCGGGGGGGCCGCGGGGCGGCCGCAGAGCGCGGGCTCGGCTGGGGCCGCCGGCGCGGGCGGGCGCCGTCAATCCGCCTCCATCGGCCGCCATCCGAGCCCTCCCGCTCACCTGACGAGCTTCATGTCGGCGGGCGGCGCCGGGCGGAGCGGCGGGCGGGAGCCCCGGGCAGAGCGGAGCCCAGAGAGCTCGCGGTAGAGCCGGGATGGGCCGGGCGCGCCAGGAAGGGCCGCTCTCGGCGGAGATCGGGAGGTGCGGTGACAGCGCCCCCTTGCGGCCTGGAGGAATCACAGCCTCACAGAGCGGGGGAGGTTGGAAAGGAGCACCGCGAGCCCTCTGGTCCAACCTCCCTGCAAGAGCAGGGTCGTCCTGGAGTCCAGGACACAGGATCGAGTCCAGATGGTTCTTGAATACCTCCAGTGAGGGAGATCCACAGCCTCTCTGGGCAGCTTTGTTCCAGTGCACAAACACTCCCACAGTAAAGACGTCGTTCCTCATATTCAAGTGGAACTTCCTGTGCATAAGTTTCTACCTGTTGCCTGGCACCACCGAGCAGAGCCTGGCTCCATCCTCTTGGCACCCTCCCTTCAGACACTTACAGACCCTGATGAGATCTTCTCTCAGTTTTCTTTTCTGAGGCTGAACAGGCCCAGCTTCCTCAGCCTTTCGTCATGACAGATGCTCCAGTCCCCCAGCCATCCTTGTAGCCCTGGACTGAACCCACTCCAGGAGCTCCATGCCTCTGTTGTACTGAGGAGCCCAGAACTGGACACAGCACTCCAGATGCAGCGTCTCACCAGGGCTGACTAGAGAGGGAGGATTTCCTCCCTTGACCTACTGGCACTGGGAGATGGAAGAGGGGGGAAATGGATAGAAAGAAGAAGAACAGGAGAGATGGATGGAAGAAGGGGAATGAATACTGTGCTCAGTCTGTGAAAACCAGGCTTTTCATTAAGGTTTCACAGCTACATATGCCTTACTTAATTAAAATATATTTTTAGAAAAACAAAGTACTTAATTTTAAACCTTTGAACTTAAAAAAAAAAAATAATCCCAAAACAAACCCAACCCAGGCCAAGTACCTGTAAGGAATTAGTTTATTAAAAAAAAAAAAATACAGCTTCAGGATCCAAAATTGTAACAGCAATAATTTTGTGTGTGTGTGTGTGTGTGAATCTATTCACCTAGTGAGAGTAAAAGGGAGAAGACAGCTTGAATTTTCACCCCAAGCACCTCTTGCTGTGGTCAATAAAACTCTCTGAAGTGCTGTGGTGAGGGAAGAGGCAAAGAGCCATCAGCACTGAGGAGAGCTGATACCTGGGATGCAGCACTGGAGAACTCCAACCACAGTAGATCTCAGACTGAGATCCAGACACAGCAGTGAAGACTGGAACATGACACTAGGGCAAACTGACATCGAGCACAGTGTGAGATCATCAATATTTAAGCACAGCAGAGCACGATCACCACATCCAATGAGCAGACACAAAACCGAAGCATCCTTTGAGTGAGAAACAGTTCCTAAGGAGCAACTTGGGAACAGTCTACTCCAACACACAAAATGTAACAGAGACAGTACATCTAGAAAAAGTTGAACATTTTATTGTCATTTAGGAGTACACCATTTGTGATTTTAGAAATACAGACTCTTTGCAAAGCACTGAAATACAGATGCCTTCCAACTTCTAAAACCTACATTATTCTATGTCTTACAAGCCTTTTATATTAGCAATTCAAGTTTGGTCTTTGCTGCAAGAACTTCTTCACCAAAGATGCAACAACTTAGTTCTAGACTGCAAGACAACCGAGCCAAGTTTCAAACTCTACCTGCCAATGAGCCATCAGAACCATTACTTTCAAATATTGAGTCTATGGTGTTCTCCTACTTCGTGCCTATGAGGGAGTTCACCTTTAAAAATTTTAAGTTAGAGGATTTTCCAGTTAACCACCAACTGGTATTTCCATTACAGCATCTAGAAGCAAACAGATACTTTGCAAGACTAGTGCTCATGAACAGGTTATGTTTTCACAAAACCCAGAGAGGCCTCCAGAAACATTCAAGGTTAAATGAACAGTTGCAAAAAAAAAAAAAAAACCAAAACCAAACCTGTACATATTTTCAGTCATAACACAAGGGAACACTGGAGTATCAGTGTTTTGTGTTCTAGCTTCAATAGTGACAACTGTGCTAGTCCTAGTAGTATTCTACATGTTTCTCCCTTCCCCCCATTTAAATTTTATACTCGCAATCTGAATATACAGCTGTACTTACAGGAAATATTAAACAATGCACAGCGCCTTAAGCAAGTTCCATGTCAGGTTTTGAACAAACCATATAAAATTAAGTGACAAAATAGCTTAAAATTGGTCCTTATTTTTATACAGCTTGGAAGCACTAAATTTAAAGACATATTAACCAGTATGAATTAGTCAGTAGCTTTTTTTTTCCTCTTTTTTTTTTTTAAGTGTGTGTTACAGTATCATGCATGAAAAGCAAGCTGCTGCTCCCAAGTGCAAACTTGGAGTTTAGACTGAACGTTTCTCCTCAGGTTATTCCTCCTTTGATAAATTATTTCAATATAACCAAGGACAGAAGCAGCTGACTAGCAAAACAATATGAAGTTCACCTTTTATGTTGTAACCCATTCTTAAAAGTAATGGAATACTTTGGAACTTTAGCATAAGGAAGGTTCAATAAACACTGCAAAGGACTTTTACATTCTTTGATTCTGTTTACATCTTTAGAAAGAAAATTCTATATTTTAACTTGCTAACTACTGAATTTTCATATGGAGATTGCAGTATTGAAACAGTGCAAGACATTTGCAACTTCAGGAACATCCAATTACACTGCCCTTTCACCCAACAATGATTAGCAGAATATTGCATCAGTTTTAGATAAACAAGACAGGACAAAAACCTCACTTTAGAATAGCATTAGAATTCAAAAAACCTTTTGTATTTAGTGAAAAGAATCCACACACAAATTTGCACGAAGGACTCCTTAACATGGACTCTATCACAACAAATGTAATCCAGCTCTAAGTCTGGACCTAGACTTTTCATTGGTACAAAGCCATATTTGTTCAGAGACCACTATCAGATGTTCCATTATTAATGTTTCAACATTTGGGTACTTTGACACATGAACAGCATCAGAGCTCTCTCCTGTCAAGACCAGAAAAAGCAGCTGAAACAGCCCAGCTGGACCATAAACTTAAGCAATCCACTTAAGCTTTAAGATGTTCCAGACACCAAAAAGCTGACTTTTGTCTTTGCATTACCCCAGTAAGAGTGGAGCCCCGTCCACTAATGCAATATTCCAAAGACCATTGCAACTAAGACTGTCAAGTCAGGTCTCAGTTGAAAGCTACCACCACCACAGGACATGGTTTCCTTACCCCCACCCCCCCAATGCCAAGGAAGAATGTCCAACAGAGCACTACTTGGTGTGGAAAGCAGGTCAGTAGAGACTCCAAGTGTGGCTGGAAGAATCCTCAGTACCAAGCCGCTTTCCACACACACAAATTCAGTCCATCTTCTCTTTCTGGACCAGCTTGGGTGCATCTACAAAATCCTTGCCATTATAAAGGATGATAGCAAAAGTTCCAAAGCTTGCACTTCCCCAGAAAAGCACATAGGCCAATGTCTCAGTCCATGTATCACCTGTGAAGAAGAGTGAGACAAACCTTTTAGTTCATTATTTCCAGAGTTTACTTCAGCCCAAAAGCAAAATATTTCAAGGCCTTCGTCAGAGATCTGTTGTCAAATGAAGTCAGAAGTTTTTCACAGGTCTTTTTCTATTTCCTTACCTAGGAAAAAATTGTGTTTGCCACACAGTTCTTGGAACACATCAAACAGACATCTGTGGAAGTCAGTCAAGAACTCTACTGGCACTAATGTTGGAAAATTCAAGGAAAAAGCAGAAGGCAAAAGCCTTCACCAATCCTAACATAGATTTAGATTAAGGGAACATCCACCAGAACAGGCTTATGCCTATATCTGACTGCTTTGAACTGCACTTCCGCCCAAAATTACACAGCCTACAATAAAGCTAGATGTCTACTCAGGTGCAACTAAATTTGGGGACAACTAACTGTCCTTTAAGTGACTTCTACACGTGTTTTAACATTGCTTTATATAGCACCTCATTTTTTTTCCACGTTACTGATTTAGCGCTAATCCTCAAAAACTTTTTAGAATCATTGAGAAGCAGAATCACAGAATCTTCTGAGTTGGGAGGGACCCATAAGGATCACTGAGTCCAATTTTTAAGTGAATGGCCCATACAGGGATCAAACCCACAACCTTGGTGTCATTAGCACCAAGCTCTGAACAACTGAGCTAATCTCAGGGTCAGCAGTTTTATACTGAATAGTTACTGGTAACCATTTACATGAAGCTCACACAGAAACAAGCCAATTTTATGGAATTAAAACCAATAGTGACTTACCAGCCATTAGCAAACAAATAATGCACATGGAGAAAGCAACCACCATAATAATAGGCAACTGAGGAAAGAGAAAAAGAATAATCACTTGATACAGCAGCACATTTATTTCTTAATTTTCTTCAAGATGGGTTGTACTGCAAAGCTATTTACTTGCTTTACAATGAAGTTGCTTTAATTCTCAATTCACCTGCATTCAGGTACAAATAAAAGTTTGGATAGCTCCAAAGTTACTGAACACTTTCTAAATTATGTTAAGAATTAAAATACACCTTCTGTGCATTAAAAGAGATTGAGGTTTGTGTTTTGTTAAAAGAAAACCCCAAACCCAAACACCAGCTACTAGTGAAACCCATAATGTCCCCAAATACCATTTCACAAAATAGAAGGGGGAGGGTGAAAAAAGAATAAAAAGTGGGGTTCTGCATGAAGTGTGAGGAAAAAAAAAAAAAATCTTCACAAGATTCTTCTGCAGAATGAAACAGTCACTGATGGTGACTAATAGAATTTCCCCCTTTCCACTTGATGAAGTAGATTTTTAAAAAGCGAGCAGCAGTTTTTCCAATACCTCAAGGACACTCCATTTTCTGTCAAAGGAACAGTCTGGGTTTAATCCTACAAGCAGGTATTATAGAAACATAACCAGATTATAGGGATGCTTCATGACTAAACAGACAAGTCCTACTTAGTCATGTGAAGCGACTACTAAATGGTTGTACACATTTCTCCAATCACGAATAAAGTCTCCATACTCACAGCTAAAAACTTCCAATCTTTCTTGACATGTAGAG